CCCAGGCTTATTGAAAAAGCTAGTCTATGTGTTAATGGGGGTTATACATATATATAACAATAAGGGCACGAACATTGAATGGTTTGATGATTCGCGTGGGAGGCGGCTTCGGATATGGTGAATTTGTAACTGGCCACCTTAGCCGCTTACTGTTCGCTTGGATATCCCGCACATTGAAGATGAGATGTCACGAACAGGATTTGCATCGCAAGAGGATGCCTGGAGTTCGTTATTAGAAGGCACCGCTGCTTTGGGCGTCCTTGGCGTGCAGCTGTCAATGGGCGCCCGGATCTCTAAGGTTCGAGTCCCCGTATCGATGGGCACCACCACCGTTTGTAACAACACCGACGAAAGCTGCTGCCGCAGAAATGAAGATGACCGACGGCTTGATATGGCTACATGTTAGAGGGAGCCAGGACGATGTGATGACTCGGCTCGCTGGGGCGAGCGAGGCCGACGAAATGAATAGGATAGCTGACTGCGACTGCTGCCGGTCGTCGTAGTACTTGTTAGTGAGTAACCAGAAGGCGTTTTTTCGGATTCAGCCGATCAAAACGGCTAAGTTCACTTCATGGGCCTTGGTACTCTCCGCTGTCGTAGGCCTGCGTGGCACCATCTTGGGGGGTGCTGAAACTGCGACAGAAAGAAGTTAGTTGGACCATTAGTGGAAACGAAACATGAACATGTAGCAAACAACACGGAGATTTGGCGGATCTAGTCCCAAGCTACTGAACAGAAACTTATTCTGCTATGGAAAGTAGGACCAGTTGGCACTGGAGTTTTCCATCGGCAGAGGTCCATGTGCTTGCAGCGACAAGAGGAGCGGGTCATGCGCATGCATGATAGGACCCATATTGCTGACTTGGTTTTTTGGCTCTGTGGATACAGTAGTTCTTGTAGTTCTTGAAGACGCTACAGTGATTGCCAGCTTCGCAGGGATATCCTCCGCCTTTCCAAGCTATAAAGAAAGCTTGTCCAAAATGGCATCACTGCTCAACGAAATCTTTACGGGGGGGTCGTAAATGATGGTAGATTTTCTGCTAAATATGGAAGAACGAAAGCTGAAATCTCAATTTGTAGCCTTCGTTTGAAAGGCGAAACAAGCTTCAATAAGCAGAATTTTTATCTGGCTACTGACTAAAAGACTTTTATTTTTGAAACGTTCCGTTAAATTAGCCCATGTGGACTGAAAGCCATCGTGTTTAAGTGGGGAATTAGCGAAAATGTCCTTTGCCTTATAACGTGCACAACATCATGCGGTATCGACAACACCTCTGTCTACTAAAGGGGCTTCGTTGGTGCTGCTTAGATAAATAAAAATTAGTTCCACATTGAGATGAGCATACTTTACTTATTTGAAGAACCAAGATAAACGAAGATTTTCTATATACCTGCAGGATCAGAAATATTATAGGATCCTACCCTTCTTATACCCTGTACCAAAAGGGTAAAAGGGTATTCTAGTTTTGTGCGCATGTATGTAACAGAAAAAGGAGGTGTGGCAGACCCTACAAAGTATATAGATTTGTGATCTGGGTGACAAGCCGAATCGATATAGCTATGTCGGTATGTCCGTCCGCCTGTCCGTCTATATGAGCGCAAGGATCTCAGAAGGTACAAGAGCTAGAATTACCAAACTTAGTATCCAGTTTCCCCTAAGCCCTAGGCAGGTCAAGTTTGTTTTTTTTATTCTGTATGGATTTATTTATGTATGTATTGAATATTTTTTATTTAATTTAATAAAGTTTTTATGCGGATCATCAACTTGTTTGGGACTTATATTAGCTGTGACGTCATCAGCAAAGTCGCTTAAATGAGAAATAAGAAAATAATCCACGCTGTCCCATCATACCCGCGCCTTTAATGGCGCACATTTACCAGAAGTGGGAATAAAATCGGCTGTAGTAAGATCAGCGTCACTACACAAGCATCTTATGGCCAGTTTCGACAAAATGAGTACAGACACCTTTACCTTTTCTGTCTGGTCTGTTACAGTCTTTCTGTTTATGACCCACACCAAAGCATCTTAAGCGGAGTTTGACGTTCGCCCGGCTGTCCCGAGGACAGTGTGTGCCGCACACTGTCTAGAGTTTCCGGCTAGAGTTGTTTTTGGAATCTCAAAACAAAAATCCGTCGGTGATAAAGAACTTCGAGAGTTTTCATTTTTTCGCACTTGCCCTTTAAGCCAACTGTCAGTAACAGCTGAGTGTCGACTTTACATTTGTCTAACTAATTGTGTATAAATTCCGAAAATATGCCACTTGCATTAATAATAGCCAGCGAGAACTTGCGAAAACGTACATTATATATTGAAGAAATACAAAGCAATGTTTAAGAAGTGCATCTGATCCCTTTGCAAATTCAGATACCACGTAAGTGTTCAGTTTTTATTTCTGGTTACAACTCATAAACAAGGGTATATTTACATACATTGACAGCTTTCACTTAATTCTCGAGTCGATAAAGAGACGTTTGCGATTACTTTTCATAATCCTCCATATCGCCGATTTTGCAGTTGGCCATTGCACTTCGATTGCTTTTTTCAAAGAGTTATCGGAAAGGACATCGATTTGGCAGTAGATTTAGGGCAATTCAAGGCAGTTTATTGTACCATCCATGAAAAGTAAATTGAATTTTTAATACGTGCTGTGCCCTGCACAATATTTGCCGACAACGTAATGAACCCAATTTTCCATGTGATATCCCAGTCGATGCAAATAATGGTTCTGGTAACAAGGGGGATGGACGAATATTCGCAATGATATCGCGGTCAAAAAAAACGGATATTCCTAATTAAATACATTTATTTCTAACAGATTTTCTTTGATCATTTGGCATTTTGGACCAATTTTTCCAATACCATACTTCGCTGCGTAAGCAGCCCCACAATCGCATCAGTGGTTGATGTAGGCGCCTCTGTAGACGATTTATACGCCTCCTTCAATTCGCGTACCTCTTTCGCGATATCTTGTTGATGTTCTAAAAATGCATTTTTTATTTTTGCCAAGTTGGCATCTCTATTGTTCAGTTGTTTTGAAAGTTGTGTTTTAATGCTAGTGTTTTAAATATAGCCTTAGTGATTTGCTAATTTATTAAAATTTACATCCTCGCGCGGAAGTGCTCGAGGTTAGGCTATTTATTTTTGTATTGTATTGTTAAGCTGCTCAAACTGTATGCACGGATTCAGTAAAACTATACCTATTTCATTGTTATTTGTATGTTGAAAAATGTCTCTGTTATTGTTATTATACAAATCTCCATGCAGAACATACGAGAAAACTCCTAAAAGAGATTACTGTGTCATCAAAATTTGGGAGAAAAAGATTTCTGTGGCTTCCCTGATGATGACAAAATCAAATATTACTAACGATTTCGTAAAATAATTCAACGGTACTCGCTTAAGTCATAAATTATATGCAATCTATGCAATTCACATGACAGCAATGTTATGTACAGCATTTGTAACAACGGACACAATTTTCGCCAAGTTTGTTTAATTAATACTTATTTTATACTTATTTGAAACGTCAAATATATATTTTATCTTTGACTTTCCTTTGACTCACAAAATAAGATTTAATTCAGCAAAATGTGATGTTCGAAAAAAGTATTTTTATATTTGGGCGAAGGGGACATCTGTATTGTTCAGTTATTTTGGAATCTGTATGTGAATGCTAGTGTTTTAACTAAAGATTTAGTAATTTGCTAATTTAGTAATATTTACATAGAAGAACTATAAGGTTTACATATAATCCAATGATTATTTTAATTTGGAAAAATGTCTTGAATTAAAAACTCCCAAAAGAGATTACTGTGTCACCGAAATTTGGGAGAAAAAGATTTCTGTGGCTCCCCTGATAATGACAATATCAAATTTAAAGGCGATTGTGAAATTGTAAATATATTTAATTGTATATAAAACTGCATTTGCCTGTGTTCCTTAACGAACGAAAAATTTCCCATGGGCAGCAACTTGACCAACTACATCCGCGGGGAAATATGCACTAGGCGCAAGCTCAGCATTTGGGCCCTAGCTTGTAAGATTCATATTTTGGGGTTCAGTTTTTTATATTTGAATTTGAGTGCCGCATGATTTCGAATAAATGTCAACCAATATACGTGTTTAATAGTTACACAAGTACCCGCCTACAATGTTCGGAGTGAACCTTTTAATTTGAATATATATGTGATTTATTTGGCATTGCTCATGTGATATTTTATTATCGGCTTATCGGCCGATCGGCCTTCTCTAATAGTTTGGGCTCATCTTTTTTTTGTAGAAGGTTTGGTGGCATTAATATAAGTGTACTAAATTTGTAATTTTGTACGATTGGTTAATTGCAGGTTAAAAATGAAGCCTATTAAACGGAATAGAAAAACCAAGCCAAAAGTTTCAAAGCTAAAATTCAATGCTTTTCAGTTTCCTCCTCGAAGAATCCCAAAACAGGTTCTCTGTCATGCTCTTCGGATTCTTCATGATCCAGCCGATGAGTTTTGGTCTAACAAAAATACCTCGTGTTCACCTCCCATTAGCAGTCAACTTGGTCATGAAGTAAAACTTTCCGACACATATCACAAACTCCATTTATCACAAATGTGCATTTTACTTCGGGATTGGAAAAGTTTAGCCAAACTTCTAACTTCAAATATAATTGGAGATACTGCACTTCAAAAAAGTTCATTTGCGATTTTTGTGGAGGTATGTATTTATATTCTAACAAACCATGGCGATATACTTGTACAAAATTTTCCGAATTGATTTGAAATTTTGAAATGTTGTACTACCCACCACATTCCACAAGCCAAACCCTTTTATAAACTAATTTGTAGAACTCAATATATTATAATTATATACTAAAAATTATTTTATTTTCTATGTATTTCTTTTAGTATGCTTCAATACTATTAATGTTGAAAGATCCAGAACTTCTGAAAATACATAAACAATCTATGACGGCAATCCTCTCGTAACAAAATAATGATGAAATTTCTTCCTGCACTAATATGTTAAATTGAAACTTTATAAGATATGAATAAATATGTAATTACGCTTAATCGATATATGAAATACATTTATATTGGAACATTATTAATATAAATAATGGACAAGTGATATAATGCAAAATTATTTTAATGAATGAATCAAGGCTGATGCCTATTTAAAAGTATATAAAATAAACGTTATTCTCATTTCAGCACAAACAATTCCGCAACATGCATCTGCTTTTGTGCAATTAGGGGCACGAATTTAATGTTCGAGGCTTGAAAGTGTTCTAAAGTGAAGGCCATCATCTAGTAAACATCATCTTCCATCGTAAAGTCAGAAGTGTCTCCAGCATAAAGAGAACTGTAGTAGAAAGTAAACGCAGCATTAACAGATGTTTTTTTAAATTATTGAGGAACATACTTCACCGCTCGACTTGTGAAAAATACAATTCTCTTAAGCTTTTTGTTGTAAAAAAAGTAATTAAAGGACCACAAGCAACCGGGTTCTCCAAATGGATCCGAGCTTAAATCTGGATTATAGCTATAAATGTCGCATTCCGATAAAATTATTTCGTCGTCCACAGCGGTCCACAAAGGTTGCCGCAGAACTTGATATTGATCCCCAGCCAAAGCCGATAAATTTGAATGTACAGAGTTCATTACCCAGGGTAAAGATGGTTCCTTGCTAAACTCATGCGACTAAAAAACAAGGTTTATAAAAGTCAATATATTTTTTTTTGCGACATCCTTACCTTTGCATCGGAAAAATCATAATCCGGTTCAAATGATGCATTCAAGGTCGCAATTAAATAAAACAGCGTTTTGCGAGATATCGTGTCGCAAAGAATTACTCCTTCATCACCAGACTGGCTGTTGCTCTGATTTCGATGGAAATTCGGCGAAAAATCTGCCAGTGTTTGAGGAGGAGATAAGGCTTGTAAGTCGTGAGGACCGATTCCGCGTGTCTCCGATGTAAATCGTTTATAAAGGGCTTTATCTGCTGCAACCATTTTGCATGAATAACTTTCAATACGCCCAAAAATCGTAATTCCTCCTCCAGTTTGAATTGAAAGGGCATTATTTATGGCCTCAAATCGGGAGCTTTCCAAAAGCTTCATGGCTTTTCTAATTTTCCACCCGCCTTAAATATGCTTAAAAATGCCTGATATAAGGTCGAATTTTTTAATTCCGGACAGCGAAGTTAATATTATCAAGTCCTTTGTTAAATGTTGCATGTATCTATTTAGATGGCTCTTTGAAGCATATGTATTCTTACAAATTTCTGTGGTACACTGACGAACGTTATTTGATTTGCTCTTATGTTCATTGCCCAGGCTATGGTGGAAAGTATAAAATTTCTAAACATGGTATTCGGATGGACGATAATTCTCTTTTTAACTGCAACTTTTTTATAGGCAAATTTATTTTCGAGGTTTTTGTGTTTTGTTAACATTACACTTCACCAAATATTATATATCGTAGTTTTTCCTCGTGGATTAATATTTTTTTAGAGGTTTTTTCTTTTTCGGCTTTTTTAGTTTCGTAAATAAATTATTTCTTTAATCTCGTTTTGATTTAATTAATCTTGTTATACATCCATACACACACGCATTTATACAATCGTATAATCTTTCTCTCTATGTACGCGATTGTAGTAATATACATTCATTAATAAATATAATGAAGGGAATATGTAGACCAAATATTCGTAAAGAACAAAAAGTATTTTTATGTAATCACTTTGTATAAATATATGCACATACTAAAAATGTTCCAATTCCATTGAACAAGATACATTTAAGTTCATGTGTGTACGTTTACCGACATAGGAAACTAAATAATAAACTTGCAAGGAATTATACGACATGCATTTAAGCCCAGTTGTACTTATGCTTTTTCCGAAACGAATCCAATAATTTATTGTTTTTTACATGTTCATAATTATTTCAGGGAAGTCCATCTTAATAACTCGTTACAAACTACAGGGCTGTAATAAATGCATCGATAAATTAAAAAAATGAGAACTCGATATTCCATATTTTAACGAATGCAATTCATTAGTTTTAGCAATGTTATTTATGGTGGGTGGGGGCAACGGTCCGACTGCCACCCCCTTACACAAGCATTCACACAGAGCACCCAAAACAACAACAACAAGCGATGCCCCATAAGCCCAAATAGAAAATTACATTTTTCAATCATCACAATTTGTTGAGTTAAGTCTAATGTTGTGAGTAAAACGGAAGTTAAAAAAAATATTTACTTGACGCAATTTTTGTATGAAAAAATACCAAATACTGAGTATTAATTAATCTGAATTCAATTTGAAATGCTAGTTTTTTGTAGGCGTAAACATAGTTCGCCACCCGGACATTGCGCAAAATTCCAAATGTTATAAAATTGTTATAAACTGTTACAAAAAAATGTAATTTTTAATAAGCAACATAAGTGGGAACTCCCAGCAGCTCCCATCCCATTGCAATCCAACAAGCCAATCGGTTGTCTTAGAATCTGGGGAGCATCAGACCCCCTCCACGTCCAAGGCGAAGCAGCTAAGCCAAGCTGCCAAGCCAGCAGTCGAAGGGGATGTGGCTGGTAACTCTGCACAGCCAGGCACTTCGGCGATGCCACCACCTAAAACAAAAACGACGTTTAAAGACAAGAGACGCGGATCAGACATATTGCAAAAAAAGCCATTCTGCCCCCGGGACGTCAACAGGCGAACGAAGGATGGTTGAATAGTCAAAGAAAATCTTAGCGGATTTCAAGCCATCTCCGGTGAGAAGACATACAAATGCTTCGAAAAGGCAGATTTCCGCAGGAGAAACGCCGCCACAACCACCGGAGCGAACACGATATCCGCAGCCTCTGCATCGCACCTTCGCAGAAGTGGCGAAGGATAAGATCCTCAATGGTGTCCTAGACATGGGCAGCATAGATGGTTTTATCCCGAGACACAGATTGGCAGGAGTCGAAAATGAGCTGCAAGGTCATTTCTAACAGACCTGGCGACCAGTGGAGGACCACCACCAATATGCGACGATGCAGGATGGCATCAAGGCAGGGTTAATACCATTGCCTGTCATGGCATGCGGTCGGACGAAGCCTATTAGAAATCAATCGCAGCACTTGGCACCCATTTTCCCAGCTCCAGAAGCATTAAACTGACCACTAATGCGCCAAGCGCTGGTCCATCTCAAACGCTGCCCAATTTATTATCTGAAAATAATATCAGGTACGCAATAAAAAGCTTCAAGCCCTACAAATTAGCAGGGCCGTATAACATTATTCCAGCGCAGTTAATTCCCGCAGGAAATACTGCCATCAGATGGTTGGCAGATATTTTTCACAAAATCTTCCTGACAAGGAATATCCCAGAAGCTTGGCTTAGATCAAAAGTGGTCTCATTCCCAAAGCAGGTAAAGCCTGGCACACTACCCCGAAAGATTTCAGTCCAATAAGTCGCTCAACATTTCTGTTAAAGACGGTCGAGAGACTATTGGGTCTCTACTTGCGAAGCAAGATCCCGCTCTCAGAGCTTTCAGGCTCTCAGCACGCATACAACAAAGGGAAATATACAAAAACGGCACTCCCTGCTGTCACTTCGGGCATTGAAAAAGCTCTCAATATCAAACAATACACCCTTACCGCCTTCCTAGACATAGAAGGCGCTTTTAACAATGTGCCTCCTAACGCCATCGGAAGCTTACTTACACAACTGGGAATGGACACTTCCATTTGGGCGATGTCAAGTGGCCTAAGGGTGAACCCCAGCAAAACAGAGCTGATGTTATTCACTAGGAAATATAAAATTCCTCCTCGTCGCCTCCCATTACTAAATGGGGTACCACTATCCTTCAGCAGCTCAGCCAAACATCTAGGTTTGATACTGGATAGGAAGTTGAACTGGTACTTTAACATTGAAGACAGAGTAAGAAAAGCCACAATCGTACTCTATACCTGCAGGAAATCCATTGGACTGAAATGGGGCATGGCCCCTTATGTGGTCCACTGGCAATACACTGCAATAATCACGACGCACTAGATGCGATTCTGGGAATACTCCTGTTGCCGCCAAAATCATATTTTCAAATTTAAAACAGTTAAAAATCTTCTAACACTATTGTTTTGTTAAACACCAATACATTGTATACTAATCGTAATATCGATATATTGTCACTCCATACTTATTGTATAACGAACCCTCACTAGTCACAAGTAAGCAAATAGTCACTTGGTTGAACACAAGCGGAGTAGACACACGAAAAGTTTTTTAAGCTCCGCACTCTGCAGCTCCGCACTCCGCGGCTCCGCAGCTTTATTTCACACCTACCGCCTTCTTAGACATAGATGGTGCTTTCAACAATGTGTCTCCAAGCGCCATCACAAGCTCACTCACAGACTTGGGGATGGACAACTCCATTGTGGAACTGGTAAGACAGCTTCTCACTAGTCGGTCCATCAAGTCTACACTGGGGCTGTCCACGTCCGCCTCAGGGCGGTGTACTCTCACTCTTCTTATGGAACGTGGCGGTCAACTCACTCCTACGATCCTTAGAAGGGATAGGGGGATGCCGCGCGATAGCCTACGCAGAAGACGTGACCATTTCCCTCTCGGGTAAATTCCCTCAAACTTTGTACGAACGCATGACCGATGCATTAAGCACACTTTCAACTTGGGTAACGTCAAGTGGCCTAAGTGTAAACCCCAGTAAAACAGAGCTGGTGTTTTTCACGAGGAAATATAAAATCGTTCTTCGTCCCCCATTACTAAATGGCATTACTAATTCTAACTAATTCGACGCAACCTCATCCCTGAACTCGCGGATGGTATGCAAGCTTTGATTACTCATCCTATGGAGGAACGGCTTGCTTAAAACCGGATCGTGGCTGATGATGTTTAAAAGTGGTGATGCCGCTTTGCCCGTCGTTTCGCTTAGGGCTTCGCGTTGATTCACATATTTGGTGTCATTGATAACAGCCGAGCGCTCAAAGGTGACGAGGTTTGTGCCCTTTGTTGATATCTCAGGGCCGTCGTCTGCACTAATCCGGTCCGGGCTCTTATTGACGATTATGACGCCGTCATCCACGAGCACGACTTGCTTCAGATTACTGGGCTGCGAGTGGCAGCGTTCAGGGTTCGCAATTGTCATGATTCGCCTGCCTGCAGAAAGTAGTATAAGTTGTTGCGGTGCACTCCGTGACTGCCAAGGTATCCCCAGCGCACTCAGCCACTGTGTCATCTTGTAACTGCAGCAAAGTGTGATGATGGGACACGGGGAATATGGTGACCCTTTTGCAAAAGACTTAACCCTGGGGTACACAATCAATATGTGACCAATATTTTCGGACTGAAAGACCTTTATGCCTCCATTTAGCTAACTATGGGTACGTCTATGGCGTGTTCAACCAGATATTTCAAATCATTGTGATCAAAAACAGTGGGGTTTACTCTGTTAGACTTAGCGAGAGTGATTGTGAACATTAAATTTTGAATTGCCGTTATTAACATGCTTGCTATCACCTTAAGGGCTGTGCCCAGAAAATGGAAGCATCTGGAAATTCTGTGGTGTATTTTTAATACGGACAAAAGGCTTCTAATGTGATCTGTGTTGACGTCCAACAACTTGTGCGATTGTGGAAATAATTCGGACAACTTTCTTGTATCATCGGCGATGTTCTCAAAGTCCGTCAAATTACTGGAGTGCATCAAGTAGTCCCGCTGCTCCCACACCAGAGCATTCCCGTCTACTACGTTTATGTAGCTGGATTGTGAATAGTCGCTAATCCGAACGTTCGCTATTGCTATGATAGAGAGGATCGCACCCACAAACCTGCAAGAGTGAAAATGGGCTATGAGGCTCTTGTGCTTCTTAGTTATTTTATTTATTATGGACCACACTCCCCTTCATTTATTTATTTATTTCTGATAAATATCTGTCAATCTCATAAACATAAAATATAACATAACATAAAAACATACTGGTAATGCATTCAGATATTAAAAATAAAAACAATAGAAAAAAAGAACAAAATTAAAATTAAATAGAATTACAAAAAATTTTATAAAAAAGTAAAGATATTAAAGAGCAACAAAAAATATTATTCAGATCTTAAGAAATTAAGTTTGCATGATTTAATGGAACTGACAGAGCTCTCATGGCAAAAAAAAAATGGCTCAATTGATTATATTTGCTACATAGAACCCGAAACGAACTGTGCAAAGCGTAGTACAGCGATTAGGGCTTAAGGGAGCAAAAAATCTTGTAGGTCTTTGAGGAACCGTAAAGTTAATTTGGCTAACAAGCACCGAAGACTCGAATTCGCCAGAAATTAATTTATGTATAAAATCAACACCTAATGAGGTCCGGATATTAACAAGTTACAAATATATAAGACCTAACAATTGTAGCCTGTGAGAATATGGTGATAGAGGGTCAGTTCTACTCCATTAAGACCACGTAAGGCAAACAAAAGAAATTGCCTTTGAAAAGATTCAATGCGTGCTTTATGAATTGGATAATGCGGGCACCAGACACTTCAACAATATTCTAAGGTAGGCCGTATACAAAATTAGAGTTGTGTAGGGGTCCTTCCTTCGCCCAACGTTTAATGAAGCATAGAGTGCCCTTTGGTTTATTAACATTGGTGGAGATGTGATCGTTAAAACAAAGTTTAGCATCCCCCAGTGCACCTAAGTCGCTAACAGTGGAAATCCGTTCTAAAGGAATTTTATTTAAATAATATGAAACGAAGTTAGCCTTGGATTGGTGGAACTTCATTAGCTTACATTTAACAAAATTAAAAATGAACATTAACAAAATGTTCAACAGATTACGGGAACACCACAATTGGAAGGCATAGAGGTCAAGATGTACATTTTCATGAAACTGAACATTTT